AATGGTACTAAGTCTGATTAGGATATCTGGTTGGCATGGGCAAGTTGGACTGAATGGTCTGTTTCCGTGCTGTATAACTGTAGAGTTCTGTAAGAAATTATGTAGGAGTAAAGCTCTGTGCAAAAAACTATTTTCATATCAGACTAAACATTTTAAATTGGAACCGGAATTCTGTATCATCAGGATGTATGGACCTGAGAGACGGTGGGGGGGTGTGTATGTCAAGTTATACCTTTTTTCTGATGTTAATTGTATTTGGAAAAACTTTGGATTGGAGCAGTTGTCAAAAGGAGACTGGACATTTCCACCAAGCCTGATGGGAAGGAGTAAATGTTCGCTGGAGAATTGCAAATATATTTGCAACTGTCCTTTCAATGCTGCCTATCATTCAGAAGCATGATATAATTTCAAAACATTTTGTAAGATCTCTTTCAGTTGTTACTTAATGTGAAGTGTACTTTTTAATTTTTGCTTGATATATCAGTCCCTGTTAATTTAATGTTTAATCTGTTAATTTCAGGTTGTTCATAAAGCGAAATCTTGTCCATTGGTTTACTTTTTCTGGTTGTTTGCAAGATTTGTCTCAAAAGTTATTGGTGGTTTTTCTGGAGATTGTAACAATGGTCCTTAATCTTTGACCCTTAAACATATGAGATTAGTCAGCTTCCAAACTGTGATCCAGTCCTGCATAATTGTAAATATTTCTGGTATTGTTCCTTAATTTGCATTATTTTAAGGAAAATGTCCTAACTTTGTATTATTTATATTTTCCCATAATTGGGCAACTTTAATTCATCGTTCAGAGATAGTAGGAACTGCTGATGTTGGAGTCTGGGATAACAAGGTGCGGAGCTGGATGAACACAACAGGCCAGGCAGCATCAGAGGAGCAGGAAAGCTGATGTTTTGGCTCGGGACCCTTCTTCAGAAATGGGGGTGGGGAAGGGGGCTCAAATAAATAGAGAGGGGGGAGGTGGTGATAGAAGGTGGATAGTCGAGCAGATAGGTGGAGAGAAGACGGACAGGTCAAGGAGGCGGGGACGAGGGCGTGGACTGGTCTTGGGATGAGTTCGGGGGTGGGGAGATTTTGAAGCTTGTAAAGTCCACATTGAGACCATTGAGTTGTAGGGTTCCAAGGCGGAATATGAGGTGCTTTTCCTCCAGTTTGCGGGTGGTGTTGTCGTGACACTGGAGGAGGCCCAGGATGGATATGTCATCCAGGGAGTGGGAGTGGGAGTGGGAGGGGGAGTTGAAGTGGTTCGCGACTGGGAGATGTTGTCGTTTGTCGCGAACCGAGCGTAGGTGCTCCACAAAGCAGTCTCTGAGCCTCCGCTAGATCTCCCCGATGTAGAGGAGGCCACATCGGGAACAGCAGACGCAATAGACCACATTAGCGGATGTGCAGGTGAACAGCTGTTTAATGTGGAAAGTCTTCTTGAGGCCTGGGATGGAGGTGAGGGGGGAGGTGTAGCGGCATATGTAGCAGTTGCAGGGAAAGGTGCCGGGGCTGGTGGCGTTAGTGGGGAGTGTGGAGCAGACGAGGGAGTCGCGGAGAGAACGGTCCCTCCAGAAGGCAGATAGGGTGGGGAGGGAAATATATCCTTCGTAGTGGGGTCAGATCGCTGGTAGCGGAAGTGACGGAGAATGATGATTTGAATCCAGAGGTTAATGGGGTGATACGTGAGGGCAAGGGGAATTCTGTCTTTGTTTTTATTGTGGGGAGGGGGTGTGAGAGCTGAGGAGTGGGAAACGCAAGAGATGCGGTTGAGGGCGTTTTCGACCACTGTGAGGAGGATATTGCGGTCCTTGAAAAACAAGTACATCTGGGATGCCCGGGAGTGGACCGCCTCATCTTGGGAGCAGATGTGGTGGAGGCAGAGGAATTGGGAATAGGGGATTGCATCCTTGCAGGAAGGTGGGTGAGAGGAGGTGGATACTGATATCTATTTCAAGCCCACCGACTCCCACAGCTACCTAGACTACACCTCCTCTCACCCACTCTCATGCCCTCTCACGCTCGGTTCGCGACAAATGACAACATCTCCCAGTCTCGATCCACTTCAGCTCCCCCCTCCCACTCCCTGGATGACATGTCTATCCTGGACCACCTCCAGTGTCACAACGATGCCACCTGCAAACTGGAGGAAAAGCACCTCATATTCCGCCTTGGAACCCTACAACCCAATGGTCTCAATGTGGACTTTATGAGCTTCAAAATCTTCCCACCCCCGACCTCATCCCAAGACCAGCCCACCCCTCGTCCCCACTTCTCTCCCACCTACCCGCCCGTCCCTCCTCACTGACCAACCCGCATCCCAACTCCCTACCTGCACCCACCTTTATTAGCTTCATCCCAGCCTCCTTGACCTGTCAGTCTTCTCTCCACCTATCTGCTCCACTATCCACCTTCTATTACCGCCTCCCCCTCTCTCTGTTTATGTCCAGACCCAAAACATCAGCTTTCCTGCTCCTCTGCTGCCTGGCCTGCTGTGTACATCCAGCTCCACACCTTGTTATCTCTTTTAATTCATCATTATTGCATATTCTAATATCTCAAAATCCTGACTGTAACATGCAGCTCAATACTAGCCAGAGTACGCTCATTTTGTCTTACTCAGGTTTTCTATAGGGTCATGTTGTTCCGTGAATCATTCCGGAGCTCTTAGAATAATTTTGGAATAAAATTTGGTTTAATAATAAATTTATTTTTCTGAGGTGCTACCTCTTTAATATCATGTGAAACTGGACACCTGAATCCAAAACTGAATGCTATAAGACACTACCCACTTGCAACCTCCTTCTAAAAACAAAACTGATCTCAACTTTGCTTGTTTCTTTCTAACCAATTTGTAATCTTTTTCTTCCTAACGTCCCAATAATTCCACACCCCTTTGTCTTCTTGAATTTTGCCAATGTACCTTTTCAAAGGCTATTGAAATGTATGGATGTGTTTGTC